CCACACAGCCACACAGTCACACAGCCACACAGTCACACAGCCACACAGTCACACAGCCACACAGTCACACAGTCACACAGCCACACAGCCACACAGTCACACAGTCACACAGTCACACAGCCACACAGCCACACAGCCACACAGTCACACAGTCACACAGCCACACAGTCACACAGTCACACGACAGCCACACAGTCAGACACAGAATATGAAGTAAAGAAAAGATGTACAGAAACAGAAAAAGGTAAAAGCCCAGAGGCAAAAGGCAGATTGTTTTAAAAAAAAAAAAATTAAGTTAGAGAATAGGTGTATAGAAACAAGCCAAGCTAAGGCCGGGCATTCATAAGAAAGAATAAGCCTTGATGTATTTATTTGGGAACTAGTTGGTGGGCCCCCAAAGAGCAAAGAGTAAAGAGTACAACAAACAAACAAACAAACAAACAAACAAACAAAAACAACTACAAGCCTCCCTTTCTCACTTTCTTCTCTGGGGCTCCCATAGGCACCGGCTTCATGTGATGCTCTTCCAACAGGTCCCTTAGATTCTGTTCAGTTTTCTGCAATCTTTCATGTTGTCTGTTCTTTTGTCACAGTAAATTTCTATCGTGCTGCTCTCAAGTTCACAAAAGCCTTTTCTATCTGCTCATGTATTTCCTTGAATCACTTTTTGGGGCAAAGTCTCATGTAGCTCAGACTGTCCTTGGACTCTTGATTCTCCAGCATCCTTGAACCAAGTGCTAGGACGACGGGGAATTACATGTGTGCCTTCCATCACACCTGGCTGGCTTTTCTTTATATACATATATTTATTTTATATTTATGAATATTGTATAAAATGTTTGTTTTCTTGTCTTTCTTGTTTTTTTTCTTTCTTTTTTTGAGACAAGGTTTCTTTGTATAACAGTCCTGGCTGTCCTGGAACTCCCTTTGTAGACCAGGCTGGCCTCGAATGCACAGAGATCTGTGTGCCTCTGCCTCCCAAGTGTTGGCATTAAAGGCATGTGCCACCATGGCCTGGCTATGATGTTTTTCATAAAGACATATATTTTCAAATATACTATTCATTGTGCATATCCCCTCCCCCATCACCATATCCCATCCTCTCTTATGCTTATTCTCTTCCATCCCCAAATACTTCCCCTTCTGTTTCTATGTTATTTATAAAACCTAGGTTCACACACCAGAGCAAACATGATACTTGTCTTTCTAGGTCTGGGTTATTTCAGTCTGCAGGATGGTCTCCAATTCCATCCATTTTTTTTCTGGATAACAACCCAATTTTATTCTTCATGGCTAGCTAAAACTTCAGTGTGTAGATATACATTTTTGCCATCAATTCACGTGGTGGTCACTTACACTGAAGGCACAACTTGACTATTATGAGTAATGCCACAATAGACATGGGTAAGTGAGCGTCCTTGTGGTATACTGACAAGATTCTCTTTGTTATATTCCCAGGAGTAGTCTTGTTAGACTATATGACAGTTCTAGTGTTAATTATATGAGAAATCTCCATAGAGATTTCCATAATAGCATCGCTGATTTCCATTCACACTAGCACTATACAAGAATTCCTATCCCCCCAGAGACTAAACAACATTTGTTTTCACCTCTATTTTTAATGATAATTATCCTGACAGTGGTAAGACTTTCTATTCCTTTATTGATATTTCCATCGTATCCATTAATTTTTATTCCTGACTTTTCACCTAAGTATCACTTTTTGGCATCTCTATGACAGGTAAGGTCTTTGTCTAATATAACTTTACCTCAGGTCTTTTCCCCTCTGAAATACCATACTTTCCCCATTTCTTTATGTAATTTGTGATTTAGTGTGGAAAGTTCTGCATTTTTATCTAATAATACAGTAGCATCAGAATGGAATTCTCACATTCGCTTGACTTGCAAAGTTTTGTCATTGTCTGATTGTTTATTGTTGTAGGTTATCTCTGCTTGTGTTTCTTTTGTTTTTCCTTAGGCATGTGCAGTTTTCCTTCAATTATTCCCCAAGATGAAGTCAGTTTTAAATGTGTTAGCATTTAATGTCTAGATCCTATAGGGGAAAATAAAAACTGGAGTGAGGTGGAAAAACAGAACAATAGTCCTGAAAACGACCAAAAGATCATTTTAGCTGCAAGGGGAGATTCAGTAGCAATGGCCACCAAGCTCTTGTTCATACTTCTGTGAACAGAAGTGACCATCAGCAATGAGAACACAGGTCTCCAGTATTTGGAAAACATTTCTTTGGCTCTCATATCTGTCTTCAAACTCTTCCAGACATGGGTACATGGTTCCCTGCCATGAGGCTACAGAGTGGAGATGGGTAGTTGCTATTGAATTGAAAGCTAAAATTGATTAAAATTGATCACAACTTACCGACCAAGACTTCTCTTGAAAGCTACAAGACTTTGATATAGTTCCAGAATAGTTACATTGGCCAGATTCTGCTGATGTCATTGTCTTTTAGGAGTAGAGACATCTTCCTGGCCTTCCTTCTACACCACCCTCCAGAATCATCCATATGCTTTTCTTGTCACACTTTTCCTCTAATTAATTACATTTTCATTCTCTTTCTCATTGTTGCCACATTCTCATTCTGCAGGTCTGAGTGATAAATGATACCTGCTACCTAGGTAGTCATCTGATGCTTTCTATGTCTCTGCCTCTAGATGTTGGTTGATCTGGGTCTATTTCTAGGGCTGTATCCATCTAAGCTTCACCAGGCTCCAGCAGAATTTCTTCCCTAGCCTTGCATTGTAAAAAATCAGAACAACAGCAACAACAAAAAGAACCCAGAATGTTTCAGAGATGTTTGTGGCTCACAAATATTTTTAAATACAACAAAGAGAGGTTAAAAACATTTTTTTAAAAAAATTCTGATATTAGGCATTATGAAAAGGGAGACCACCCAAGCACAAATATGAATACAAGCCTTTGCAGACATGGGGAATGGACACGTGCTATCAGGGTGTGTATATACAGCAGAGCAGTTATTGCTGAACCATTTCTATCTTGTCAGGCTCCCTCGTCGCCGTTCATGTATTTCTTGATGTTTTTTCTGTCAGTGCCCTTTGAGATTTTGCATTTTCCTAGCTTCTAGTTTGAGACAAAACGAAGCAAAACAAGATCAAGTAACTTAGCACTATGTCCATTTTCAGGTCCCAAGTTCTCTAATTTGCCCACCTTCTCTCACAATCTTCTGCTCTTGCTTTAATAGAATTCCCAAGGTTCTTAGCTATCCCTATGTAGGCGAGAAAAGAGAGAGAAGCACACTAACCCCACCTTTCTGGAGTAGAAGTCTCTTCATCCTTTGAGCTTTTCCATTCCTTGAGTTTTTACGGTCAGATTAGCCTCCCTTCACACCAGACTACAGATCTGTAAGCACTTGTGAGTTAATGTTTTACAAGTTATATGCCTCCCACCCTGAATCTAAAAATATATATCAAAGTAATAAGTCTGGCATAAAGCACTAGAGTTCCTGAATGAAAACACACCAAGCAATTCATATTTAACTATAATACAAAGAAATAACTCATATGGGAGGCGTTTTTTGCTGTAGCTGAGTAAAAGCTAGTTTTAGTTTTGTGATTTCCAAATGTTTCATGGTTTATCTGCTTTTGTGAGTGTGGGTCTCTTCTACACTTGGAAAAGATTGTGTGAAACTGATACATTTTCCCCCAAAGTGTTATAGAATCCATGAGTAAAACTAAATAGATTGGAAGATTTCTTTTTTTTTTTAAAGTTAAAATTATGAGTTGAATGTATTAAATAGTTATGGAACTTATTTAACTTAGGTAATCTGTGTGTTGTTTTCAAGTTATCAAGAGATCCATCCCCTTCTAAAATGCTGAGTCTATGCTCACAGCATTACCCATACCTTTCCCTTCCATGAATTCATACCCATACTCTTTATCCGCAAGCTCTACAGGGATGGCATATTTGATTCTTTTTTCCTTTCTTTTTCTTTTTAAGATAAACCAAAAACTATCAGGTCAAAGTTGGACAGGACAAACCAACAGAAGAACAAGAGCTGAAGAGAGGCCACAAGAATCAGAGACCCACCATTTGCATGCTCAGGAGTCCCATAAAACACTAAACTGGGAGCCATAACGTATGTGCAGAGGACCTGGTGCAAACCTGCGCAGGCCCTGTGCATGCTACCACAGTATCCGTGAGTTCATGTTATTTTTGCTGTTTATGTTGATTTAGAGGGCCCTGTGTTCTTAGTGTCCTCCATCCCCTCTGGCTCTTAAACTCTTTTTGCCTTTTCTTCTGTGAGGTTCCCTGAGCTCCGAGGGGAGGGATTTTATGGAGACATCCCATTTAGGGCTGATTGCTCCAAGGTCTTTCATTCTCCGTTTAATGCCTGGCTGCCTATCTCCATATTTGTTCCCATCTGCTGCAGGAGGAAGCTTCTCTGATGATGGCTGAAAAAGGTGCTGATCCATGACAATTGCAGAATTTGATTCTTAATTTTGGAAACAGTGTTGTCCTTTTTCTTTGTGGCAATGGTAAAGGTTTGCCAACTTTATTGATCTTTTGAAAGAACTTTTTATTTTATTGATTTTCTTCCCCTCCCACCCCCTATGCTCAGGACTAAACCCAGGGACTCATACAAACTCACACATGCTACATGTCTAGACCACTTCTTACTTAATTTTTTTTTAAACAGGAACTTACTAAGGTGCCATGAAGCTTGAACTTACCCTGTAACCCAGAGAAGCCTTGATGTCGATCCTTTTGTCTCTACCTGTCTTCCAATCAGATACCATCACCAGGTTCACTGATGTTTTTTCCTTGCTGTGTAAACCATAAGGTTGCAAATATTCTAATCAGTGAAAGTGCATAAAAAGGGTTGATAATGATGGACTACAGGAGGAGAGAGTGATTATCTTTGGGGATATAAATCTGATCAAGTACAGGTATATAATGGAGCCTTTAATTCTAACAGTATATATATTTTTCAATTTTTTAAGTTGTACAGTGTCCACCCATATTTGGATGCCAGTAATACTACAGAATATACTTCAGGAAGAAAAAGAGACAGTTTTAATGTCAGCATATTTAAAAAGTGAAATATAAATACCAATCTCAGATCCAGAAAATATCCTTCATTATTCACTAACACTACCCATTCTTTCAAATAGTTTTCCATCCCTTGTTTACTAAAAAAAGGGGAGAGCTAGAGAAAGTCACTTTCAAAGACTGTAAGTGTGAATTTAATTTTTTTATTACAGATAATAGAACAAGTTCAAGAAATTAAACAACAGTTAATTAAGAGACTAATACTTGAATTTGGGATCTATGCCTTCTGCTGATAAATATATAATCTAGCTTTGTATATTTGAAAGTAAAAAGATAATAAAAGATGGGCTGAGATGGTGAGAGAAGAGACAAAGTTGGTGTGTTTTTCATCTCACATTGTGCTTGACGTCTTAAGCACACAAACTTGCAAGAGAGACTGTCTTCTCTTGGCTCTAGCCAGTCTCAGGCTGCTCCTGTCTCCAGCCAGCTCCGTGGGCTCTTCCCAGGACTCCACCGCCAAGTGGGACACAGCATCACAGCTCTCATTTCCTTGGTAACCTGGACCAAGGTTTATTGCTGTTTGTTATGAAAGGGGACTCTCTACTGCTGTTCTCGTAGGGGCAGACGAAGTAGCAAAACAAGTACACGAGGTGGAAAAGACAGAAAGCAGAACTTGGGTCATCTCTGAACTGAAATCCATTTTCCTTCTTCAAATTCAGAATGTCAGGGCTGCCGCAGCCTCCACCTTGCTCACTCCTTTCTTCCGTGGCAGGTACTCTGTCGGGCTGGAGAACTGCAAGAAAACAGCGTTTTCTGTGTGCAGGTCCCTGCCACATCTCTCTGTGTAGCTGGGGTGGATCACTCTGGATTTCAACACTATTCTCATGATGTAAGGCTGCTTTATCAGCTCCTCCCTAAGTCTCTTTTAAACACAATAAACTAACTGTGTCTTCACATTCCTCTGGGAAGTCAATCTTTCTGGTTCACAGAGAGAAGAAACGGAAGAAAGATTTTTTTCCAAGTGAAAAGTCTTATTAAACTAATCTTAGTATAAATAAAGGGAAAGGAGATGATTCAAAGAACCATTGAGCACAGTTAAAACGTCTTTTATTTACAAACCATTTTTGTAAATAAATGTAGTTCTACATCTGTTTTCTTGGCATTTCCAAACCCCCGAGACTCTAGAATATTGATAATATGAATTAGAGATATAATTGAAAAAAATAGGAAACCAAAAGAATGTGTAGATAATGCTTAGTAAGTTGCAGAAGAGAGTTAATGCTAAATAATTTCTCCAAATAATTAAATTTCAATTTAAAAAGTCATACAGAATGTTTATGAAACCTAGTTTGGGAAACAACTATTATAAATTATTTTGAGACTCAAGAGGTCTTAATTTGCAAATTGGAGTTTCTCCAACTATTTGCATATTTTAAATTAACCAAATAGGATTTTTCAGAATTATGTGGGGAAGGTCCAGCAAACTTTACACGGCTTGTTAGGAAAAAGTTATTTTTCCACTTATTAAAGATTTCAAATTATTATATGAACTCTGTGAAAAATAATGAAAATCACTACACAAAATGCTAAGTTAATTTTATTCTTTCATTCTGATATTTTTTTCCATGACTTTCCCTATACATAGCCTTCTTTGAAGGCTATGACATACAACCAACTTCATTTTTTTTTTGCCAAAAACTGTTTCAGAAGCTTTGTTTTAAAAACAGTTGTTTTTATATAGTTTGGTAGAATACTGGCAAACTAAAGTTTTGTTGTTGCCTCTCAATATGCTCAAGAAGTGAACATATATATTCATATATATATATATATATATATATATATATATATATATATGTTTGTTTTCAATTAAAAAGAATGTCAGAGGACATGCAATGAAAGGGCCCGGTTAGGTATGCCACTACGGGCTAGCCTTTGTACTTGTGGTCCCAGAACTCTTGAATTGGAGATGTTGAGTAATTTCTTTTTAAATTTTAATCTTTGAGTGAATGAAGTATAATCTATGAAACTCCTCTGTCAAGCTGTTTTACAATGACTCCAATATTTATTCGAAAGCCTGATATACAATCATCTTAGTTTCATGATGTCCTCATTAAAATCAGATAGTTCATTGGTGTCTAAGTAATTTTAGTTTCCTCACGTGTTATACTTATGCTGTTTTGGTAATGAGGATGAATACATTGTCATATTTATTACCTAATAATCTTTGTCCTTTTAAAAAAATTGTTGATTCAGATGAAGAAAATGAAATTCAGGGAAGTTGAATGTTCATCAAGAAATGTGTACTTGAATAGAAATTAAGCAAACCTCTATTTTTCTGAAAAATTAATATATAGTCTCTACTATGTTATCCTAAATACAGTTCTCTTTTGAAGTAGTAGTTTTGATTAACTTACTCACAGGGCATTATGTATTCATGTGAGATTTCCTGAGTTTAATATTTATGGCCTTTTGTGTAGGAATTATGATTGTGTTACTCTCAAATCTCAGTTTTTTTTCACAGATTTGATTTATTTGGCTCTCCAAATTTTGCTAATGCTAGTGGCAACCAATAATAAGCATTTGAATTCAATAAATTATTTTCTAAAATTTCCAAGTGTTCTAAAAATTATTTTTAAATGTTTTGAGAATTGAGAAATCTTTCTGAGTTAAATCCCCCTAACTACTTATATGTTTTGAGTCAATTGTGTTTTGCAAATACATAGAATAATTTCTGGATATTGCATTAGCTTTATGGAACACAGTTTGAGGACAGGGCAGAAAAGTGATTTCAGCTTATCTTTCAGGGTGGTTTTTATGAACACAAGGTCCCATTATTTTTCTGATAAGGTTCCAGGAGGATTAGAATTTTAAAAAAATTAAAGTTAGTAATATGGAGAGTCAGTTTTTTTTATTAATGCTGAGGTATGAGAGAAAGTTAGACTTTCATTTAAAAAATTATGCATCGGCATGTTTTCACCCTCTCAGCTCCAGGAGTTCAACCCAGGCCCTTCCACAGCTGGTGAAACACTCTACCCCTAATTCACATCCCTAATCCCTGAGAGCTGCTTGGTAAAGCTAATTTCTGATGCCTTTTGAGTTTCATTTGTGTGAACCCTATTTAATTCTATATTGCTGGAGTGAGGGCAGTGTGTCCAGGTTTGGCTCAATGGAGAGCTGAACTTCAATGGAAGCTGATTTAGAGAACACTTTCCCTGTGGCACATGTCCCACCCCATAAACAAGCGTGATGCACCCTGTGTGTGGGCAGTTCTTGGAAACTAAGCTTCTAACCTCTATACAGCCACACACCTCGGTGAAACAACTATACACCAATGGTCAAATAATGACATTACTCATAATGTTAACATTTGGAAAGTGCTCACAGATTTTTGAGACAGTGCTAATTCACACACACACACACACACACACACACACACACACACACACACACAGAGAGAGAGAGAGAGAGAGAGAGAGA